CGGCCAAGAACAGCAGGCAGGACGGCCAGGAATTCAAAACATACAGAACACAGCTTCCTGTGTGTGCTGCGCCTGGGGCGGCCCCAGGGCTCGGGCCAGGAAGCCAGTACTCTGATTTACACAAGACGGGCGGGCCCAGCAGTCCGGCAGTCCCAGGGGAGGCGCTGGGCTGAGCCCACAACTGCGAAATGAAGACACGCAGGAGGCATGCCACTAAGATGTTTACTTGACGTCGATCCAAAATAGTTTCCAAGGACTGAAGGTGCTGCCTGGCTCCAGGGAGCAGGATGCCCTGGTGTGTGCCCAGGGCTGACCAGCTCCCGGGGAGTGTGTGCAGGGCCCAGGGGAGGCGGGCAGCAGTGGATGGCACGTCTCGGAGGATGCTGCTCCAGTGAGCCTGGCCAGGTTTCTGGAATCCCAGGGTCAGTACTGGTGGCACGAGGGGCATGCCAAGCCAACAACCCACTAGCACCTCTTCTTCCAAGACAGGTGCAAGCTACCACTTAGAGTTGTTCCCGCCCACTCCCAAGCCCCCCTGCAGACCCACGGCCCCCATCTGCTGCCACGGGACCTTTGATGGAAAGGTTTTCCCCAGGGAGAGGAACAGACACACCAAGCGTGTTCACCTCTCCACATTCAGGCAGAACATGAAAGCAGGGGGAACATGTGGAAACATGCTCTCATCACAGAATCACGAAGTTGTTCACAGCCAGGTGAGAAGCAAGCCCGAGAGTTCATACTCCGTCAGCAGCTGCAGCTGCCTCGGCTGCTTGTGGCTAGGCAAGTGTCACACTGCTGGGAGAAAAGCAACCAGTAGCTGGCAGGCTTTTTGGGCCTGGTTAATGCTAAATTAATGCTGTGTTAGCTATGCAAGTACTGCCAGCATAGTTGCCTATTCTGCTTTTTTTTTTTTTAAAAAAAAGATATGTGAGGACCCGGTGCCATGGCCTAGCGGCTAAAGTCCTTGCCTTGAACACATCGGGATCCCATATGGTCGCTGGTTCTAATCCCGGCGGCCCCACTTCCCATCCAGCTCCCCACTTGTGACCTGGGAAAGCAGTTGAGGACGGCCCAAAGCCTTGGGACCCTGCACCCACATGGGAGATCTGGAATAGCTCCTGGCTCCTGGCTTTGGATCGGTGCAACACTGGCCATTGTAGTCACTTGGGGAGTGACTCATCGGACAGAAGATCTTCCTCTCTGTCTCTCCTCCTCTCTGTATATATATCTGACTTTGCAATAAAAATGAACAATTTTGGGCCCGGCGCGGTGGCGCAAGTGGTTAAGTCCTCGCCTAGCACGCCCGGGATCCCATATGGGCGCCGGTTCTAATCCCGGCAGCCCCGCTTCCCTTCCAGCTCCCTGCCTGTGGCCTGGGAAAGCAGTCGAGGACGGCCCAAAGCTTTGGGACCCTGCACCCGCGTGGGAGACCCGGAAGAGGCTCCTGGCTTCGGATCGGCATAGTATCGGCCCGTTGCGCTCACTTGGGGAGTGAATCATCGAACGGAAGATCTTCCTCTCTGTCTCTCCTCTCTGTATATCCGCCTTTCCAATGAAAAAATAATAAAAATAAATCTTTAAAAAAAAAAATGAACAATTTTTTAAAAACAAGTGAGGCTGGCATTGTGGTGTAGCTAGCAAATCTCCCATTTGCAGCACCGGCATCCCATATTTGAGAAAAATAAACAAACAAACAAACAAACAAACAAACAAAGACATGTGAGAGGGCCCTGTGCAATGGCATAGTGGTTAAGATCCTTACCTTGAATGCGCCAGGATCCCATATGGGCACCAGTTAATCCCAGTGGCCCTGCTTCCCATCCAGCTCCCCGCCTGGGATAAAAATAAATCAATCTTTAAAAAAACTATGTCAGAACTGTGTGCACTGCCGCAGGGGGGTTGGGGTGAGGCCTGGCCTCCAGGCAGGGGGCTGCAGATGCCCAGGGAAGAGGTCTGGGAACATGCTGGTGCGGGGGCTTCTGCAGAGTGACTTCTAGGGGTTTCTACGGACCAAGCCATTGCACTTGCAGGCAGGCGAGGGGGCCCTTCCCAGGCGCTTTAGCAGGAAGCAGGATCAGAAGCAGAGCAGCCGGCTCAGACAGAACACTGATCTAACCCACCATGACATGATGGGGCCCAGCACTTATGTTTCATAACATAGTTTAAAACAAGCCTTAAACTTCCATTAACATGTTTGTGCTTTGGGGACTGGGGAGTGGGGAAGGAAATGAATAGAAACGGAAGCTAGGCAATCCAGGCTTGATCCTATTACCCGGAGCCAACGCTGAGCTCGTCCCTCAGCGCTGGGCCCACTGAGCCTCACGGCCTGGTTCCTGCACTCTCGCACAGCCTCGGCGCTGGACCCACTGAGCCTCACGGCCTGGCTCCTGCACTCTCGCACAGGCTCACACGGGCTGATGGGCGGAGCGGTGCTGGTGAGGCAGAGACCAGCTGAGAACTCACGCCATGATGCCAGTCCTGGGTTGCTGTGTTCTCATGGGGAACAAGTCAAGGAGGGGCCGCTGCTGGCCAGCTGTCCTCCCCGTCCCTGCTTAGCAGTGTGTGTGGGAAGGGCCAGGAGTCGCCAGTACCACGGGATGCCTTCGAACTCAACTTGCTGATTGAAGCCTAAGTTAGCCAATGGAGTTCTGGACTGCGTCCTGGTGGGGTGGTGTCAGCATTGCAGTGGGCGCATGCTCCTGGACAGGGACAAGTGAAGACAACGGGCACATTCTTGCAAGATCAAGGAAACTTCCAGGCAAGAGGGAGGCAAACGTGGAATTCGAGGCAGATGGAGGGGGCGTTTTGAAAAGGTTCCTGGACCCTGTGCATTACAAAAAACTGCATGGGTTTCAAAACTGTTGACTATCAAGATAGACTCACATTCAACTGCTGCAGCACGCTGGGAAGAGGACCTCACTGAGGCACTGAGGAGCAGGAGTCATCAAACAGGGACCCTTTCAGAGCAGCATGGGTGCCCCGTGGCGGAGGGTGCCTGGGGGCAGGAACAGGAAACCACTGATGCCTAAGGGGAGAGGGTGGAGAAGTGGGGCAGTGTGTGGCACAGCAAGTTAAACCGCCACATGGGACACCTGCTTCTCTATCAGGCCCGGGTCCCGGCTCCTCCGCTCCCCAAATGACCTCCTGCAGGTGCACCTGCAAAGTAGCGGACCAGGCACAAGTCCTTGAGTCCCTGTCGCCACCTGCTTGGAGTTCCCGGGTGCTGACTTTGGCCTAGCCCAGCTCCAGCTGCCGGGGTAACTTGAGGAATGAACCAAAGGATGGAAGATCTCCCCCTCTCTTCCCCTCTACCCCCCCCCCCCGTCATACTGCCTTTTTAAATATCAAATAAATTTTTAAAAAATAGAAGTTCATGAAGATTGTACTCCCAAAAAACTGGAACTATTTTTTTTTTTGAAAGGCAGATGTACAGAGAGGAAAGAGACACAGAGGAAGAATTGAAGACATGCCAATAAACTCCACAGCACGTCATACACGCTGTGCCTGGCAGAGCTGGGACTCCCTCTGTCAACAGAGGCAGTGTGCGGCTGAGGCCCGGGCCATGTCCCATCACGGTGTCTGGAGGCTGCTGTTAGTCATCTCCCAGGGGTCCCAATTGCCATTTCTCGCCATCCCCTCCTCCGCCTGCACTGCAGTGGCATCCAGTTCTTCCCGTTTCGTTTCTCTTGCACCTGCTGCCCACACAGCAACCACTGTCATCTTGTTAAAACAAACCACGGACCTGGTGAGTGGCTACTGCCCATCCTGCACCTGCAGTGGCTGTCAACTTCTGCATGCAGCATACCCAGCCTCTTCCAGAGCAATTTCTCATGTTTGCTTCCTCTGCTGGTCGCCCACCTCCCGCAGCTACCACCTGAGGCCCTCAGAGGCGAACTCCTGAGGGAGGCAGGATGCTCTCGCCACGAGGTTGCACATGGATGCTAAGGTCCACAGAGACCCGTTTCCCTAGAATCTGGCGCATGGTTGATATGCAACAGATGTCTGTTGCCTTTACCCCCCAAACCCAATTTCTTTCTTTACAAAATCTCAGCAAGAATACCCTACCTTCCAATCACTGCAAAGCCTTCCACGTGCAGAGTCCTATCAAGGGTGTTACTGTGTCCCAACTCCTCCCCCACTTCACCAGCAAGCAGCAGCCGTCTGCCCTGCACCCAGTGACCTGGGGGTGAGAGTGGGCATCACAGCCTGACTGCTCCTGCAGCCTTGACCCAGAACCGCTAACAAGTGCCCATGCAGCACAGATGCTGTGAGAGTCAGGGAGGTTCCTGGCCTTCACCTAGGACTCAAGGAACCTGGTGGCAGCCCATGTACAAAGGCAGGTGGTCCCACTGCACCTGCTGGGTGGAGTAAGGTGAGGGAGATGCATCAGGGACCTTGGCCTGGTGCCCTCACTGACAGCACTGCAGGTGTGTGCTGCAGAGGTGCCACCCACGTGAGGGCTGGCATGGCAGGCGATTCCTGCGGGATCTCCCCAGGTGCCCACGGAGTCTGAGCTCAGCCAGTATCAGGGCCAGTGTCTCCTCCCTCCTTCTCTCCCCATCCGCGGATCCAAGTTCACCTTGTTAGAGGTCAATGTCATGATGTTTTCACTTGTGGATCATTTTAACTGAAGATACTTAAACTGCCATTTCTGAGGACAAGTGAGTCATTAGACTTCCCAGACTCCTTGGGCAGTGAGGGTCTAACACCAGGGTTGGGGTGGGACCAAGTCCTGGCTGCTCTGCTCCCGATCCAGCTGGGAAAAGCTGGGGTTGGCTCAAGGAGCCGCGCCCCTGCGGGTCCCAGGAGGAGTTCCTAGTTGGTAGGCTTTGGCCCTGCACAGGCCTGGCTGCTTAGAGAGCCAGTGCATGGAAGAACTTTTCTCTCTCTCAGACTCTGCCTTTTGAATAAGTAAGGAAATAATTTTTAAAAAAGATGAAGCTGTCAGATTGTTGAGATGTTTTATAAGAGTTTAGGCAAGAAACATTATTAACGGTGTCATAAATAAGTATTATAACTTTATTAAAATGAAAAGACAATATTCAAAATAATGCAACAAAATGAATAAAATCCTTTGTCCAATACTGTACACATAATGCAGAAATCAGTGCATTTTCTAAAGCATGTTTTAACCTTCATTTAGTTCATACTAAAATATAATAAGCTTTAAATAGCTCAAATATCATTCAGCAGTTTAAACTGTAAACAGCTTGTTTAACTGTTAAGAGAATGTTGTAGTCACAGGCCCCTGTTGGGCCAACAATCTCTCGTGCCTGCCTACACAAGACACAGCCCGCAACGCTGGGCACACACGGCCCGAGCTCCGGGCCCACCGGGCCTGGGGGAGGCAGTGAGAGCTTCCAAGCAAAAAGACGCTGACGTGACCTCTGGAATTAAGACGTACTGTGCTACTGGTCAGAAGTGTTTTACTTAACAAGCAAACAATCCCCAGGAAATACTGAATAGGAACCAGCAACACAAGGCCAGCTTGTGTTGTACTTGTTTATCATTAATACAGTCTAAAAAAACAAAACACGTGACACGCATCCGCACACGGCCCCTCTCGGCCGCAGAGCTGACCGCTGCGGCGTGGCTCTGCACGCCCCACGCGGGGCTCTCCCAGCGACCCGCACACCCCTCCTGTCTCCCGCTTCAGTGGCCTGGGGAGCCGGCAGGGGCTGCAAGGAACGACACTGGCTAACTCAGCTTTGCGCTCTTCAGTGTGAGAACACGGTGCCAAACAGGACCGCTTGCAAGAGAACAGGCTGCGAGGCCAGGATTCTTCACGCTCACCAAGGAACCTCGCTGGCATGACAACACCGCTTCTCCTTTCCTCTGCTCACTGCCGCTTGAGTCTCTAGCCTGCTGGATATATATTACTCTAGGACAGTAACTGTCTGGTTAGCCTGCAACTACAGCCTACGGTTGGACCACAAGTGTCTACAAGGGAACCTAACGCACGCACACACAGCAAGGCCGCCTCTCCTCCCCGCCCTGCTGTCACGGCTCGGGATCACCGCCTCGGACACGCTTCTCTCCAACGCTAACCGACTCGGGGTTCTTGGCCTCACAGCACCTCCCGACCGCCCTCAGCCTCTCATTAAGACAGAGTTCAACAACTCGATTTCGCAATCAGCAACACTTCGCTGTGAGCCTCGGTCCAGCTGGCAAGGTGAGAGCTGCGGCGCCCTCCCCGCGTGGAGCCCCGTCTACGGGGACACCACATAGGCGGGGTGCTTGCGCTTCCCGTGGCCGCCCAGCTGCACCCTGGCTTTGGAGTCCAGCTTCTCCATGGTGGAGACCGTTCTGCAGTCGGCAGGCAAGGGCTGCAGGTGGGCGCTCGTGCCCACTTCTTCCGCTTCCCTGAAGAACCTCTCGTACCTGTCCATGTAGGGCGGCCGCTCGGGCAGCAGGTAATAGTGGGTGGAGCTCACCTTCCTGCCGTTCTCAATGATGGGCAGGATGCAGGGAGCCTTACCGGCTGAGCCCTCGCTGTTCTGTCTCTGCAGCGCTTTGCTGCTGACGTACTTGGGGTCAGGGGCAAAGCTCTGTGTCGGGGGCATGACCCCGTTGAGGTACGAAGGCAGGCTCTTGGGGCTCGGCGTGCGCGAGTTGCTCCGGGACACAGGCTCCCGGGGGGGCACCTTGGGGGGCCTGTCCTCGTCGCTGTAGGTGCTGGACGTCACCTCTGCCGACCAACGCCGGTAATCGGGCTTTGCCGGCCTGGGAGGGATGGGGATCCTGGGGGGCACCTCGGGCTTGTCTTCGTCGGAGTTGGGAGAGGCTGCGTGTGCGTAGTTGGATACCCGTATGGCCGGCTTGTGAAAGGAGCCGGCCGGGCCTGAGTGAGACCTTCTCAGCCTCCGGTGGGCTTGTGGGGGCGGGGGGTTGGGCTGTGGCACGCTTCCACCTTGGTCAGGCGCACAGTCGAGGTCTGTGGCAGAAACTGCTGGAGTGTCAAAATAGGCGTAGTTGATCTGCCCACACCCACGGAAGCTTCGTCTGCCAGGAAGGTCGTACTTGAAATCAGAAGGTTTACAGTCCTCCAGGAGCAAGTCCGTGTCTGAGCTAGTCAGGAATTCCACCTCACAGTCCGTCTCGTCCAGACTGAGGTCTTCGGAGATGGGCAGCGGGGGCAGGGGCCTGGAGCCCCGCTCGCCGAGAGCGGCACAGGGCAGGAGCGAAGGGGAGGCTCTCACGGGCGTCAGCGGAGGCGTGGAGGCAGCCGCTCCGTTCACCGAGAGCTTCTTCATGCCACACACCAGCTGATCCTCCTCACGCTGCCCCGAGCTCTCACTGGGGGCGAGAAGAAGAGGCGGCAAGCTGGGTCTTGCTGCTGGGCCGTTTTCTGCAAAGCAGTGGCCGTTCACTGGAGCAGACCTTGACGTGTGCCCTGGAACGGACAAGAGACACGCGTGAAAGGCTGCGCCCCTAGCTGCGCGGCACCATCCCTGGCTTCCACCCGGCGGCCGTGACCCCGAGAACACCCAGGCCAGCTCCGCAGGTGTAATTAGAGGCCAGGAGCTCGGGAACGCACGTGATCTGGTTCAAAGAACAAATTATCTCTTCTATCTTCTCTGGACGTGTGCACAGCACACACCCACACATCTCAGGCAAATTCACAGAGCATGGGCAGTGTATAATTTACGTGAACACCAGACTATACCAGCCTTGCCATTTGAGACATGCGACAATACCAGGCACGCAGGACACGACATGAGATAAGCGCTCAAACCGAGAAGCAGCGCTTGACAAAAATCTAAGGAACATTCCAGGTTTTGACTGGCATATGACCTCCGTTCAGTGCCACTAAGAAAGATCCTAAGTATGCACAGAGCTGTCCAAGAACTAGCTCTTGATTAGAACCCACCCCTCCCCCTCGACTCATGGGCGAACAGCAGCCGAGCATAAAGACAGCAGAAGCAGCGGCCTGGACGGAAACAGGACAATCTCCCAGTCTGCAGCCGCTAGGGGTCAGGCTGTCGTTGGAAGTAGTTCAGCTTTCCTCATTTCAAACCCGGAGACAAGCTAGTCCCTGCAGCCCTGCCAGCGTGCCCTGCCGGGCTTCACTCACCCAGAGCCCGCAGGTGCTTCCGAGCAGTGGGGTTCACACTGCAGGCCATGGTGACTGGGTCGAGAGTTAGGAAGTTGCTGGAAGGAGAGAAAAGCACCTGGGTCAGAAGCAAGCCGCCGTCACGCTGGCATCTTAAGGGATTACCGAGTGATGCCTTCTCCACTTACTTGTCCAGCTCTCTCCGACTGCCCCAGCAGGTCTTCATGCTCCCAATGGCTTGGCCATTATGCAGAAATCCAGACTTTAATGGGACTCTAATCTCTTGAGCAGCCACGCCGGCTGTTGACATTGTGCCTTTTTCTGGGACGTCTCCCAACTGGTGAAACGCAGGGATTTTTAAGTCAGCCAGCGGCTTCCATACCCTGGGGTGGAGGCAGAGGAGGGCTCAGTCAACAGGACAGTTCAGCAATACCTTTACTAAAAACCTCTCAGCACAAACAGCTAACAGAGACTAGGCAAGTGGAGGTGGGGGATGGAACTGTAGACTTTTACTTCATTCTTACTGCACTAATTCAAGATTTAAAGCATCTAGCACAGCGCCAGTCTACCGCCAGCACAGTCAGTGGCCGTGCCAGCACAGCACGTTTCGGGGGCCCACACGCCTCCCGGGAGCTTGGTAGGTCAACTGAGCAGGCGTGGCTGTCCTTGATCTAGCTTTTCTCAGGCTGCACCAGTGACTCCAGAAGTGACCCTATCAACATTGCATGCCTCTGTCACTCACACGCCACCCACCTTCGCCAGTGCCCACAGCTCTGCACAGAGTTCCTCCACACCACCCACCGTCGCCAGTGCCCACAGCTCTGCACAGAGCTCCTCCACACCACCCACCGTCGCCAGTGCCCACAGCTCTGCACAGAGTTCCTCCAGAACCCAGCTTCTCTGTGCCTTCGGTTCGAGCTCGGCCGTGGGAAGAGAGGCTCTAGCTACTACATCCTATGTAGGAAAGAAGCAGTCATCTCTACAAAGACTGATGTCCCTAACAGTCAGCCGGCACGCTTCCTAGCCCGGGGGGGGGGGCAGGTGCCTGCCTCCCACCTGCGGCCTTGACACTGCCCTTGGTGAAGGCCCCGTGATTCAGGGCCTGCCTGGCTGCAAGGCCCTCAGCATCCAGACACCCAGCATGGAGGCCAAGGGCCGCCCCCTGAGACCAGCACATCCTCAACTTCAGGAACAACCCCATCCGTGACAGACCTTTTTTCTCACTCAAAATGTGGGTTTTAAAGAGAGAGAGGGGAGAGAGGGTGAGACAGAGTTCTCGACCCACTGGTTTCCTCCTCCAACTGCTGCAAAGGCTAGAGCTGAGCTGATCTGAAGCTGGAAGTCAAGAGGTCCTTCCAGGCCCCCAGATGCAGGTGTAGACGCCCCAGGACTTGGGCTGTTCTCCATCTCTCCAAACCTCAGAGGCCACCAGCAGGGAGCTGGATGGGAAGTGGAGCAGCCAGGCCGTGAACTGGCACCCATCTGGGAAGCCAGCCCTGCACTGGCCTACTACGCTACCTCCTCAGGTCCCTTTCTCAGACCTTCCATGTCTGCTGTTTTAATTTGACTTTTCTATTGTTTATCACACAAGTGTTAATTAGTGTTAACCTCTCCTGCCTTGAGGTATCAGTGTTCATTTATAACCAACTCACGCCCCCTCTTTGATACAGTGCTGCCAATTGGTCCACCAGCATCTTTCTGCAAGCCTTTCCTGCGGCTCCTCGCACACCTCGCCCTCCCCCGGCACTGCGCACTGAGCTCAGACAGGCTGTCAGGAAGCAGACCGACTGGGGACAGGGGACTCAGGATTGTACCTGCAACCACTCAGCGACCCCCAAACTCCCATTTACAAATCGGCTGCCACAGGAGCAAGGCTGAATCCCCATCATTCCTTTCTCATCATTAGGTGCTCAAGCAGTGAACAGCTGTGTAACACTCTTGTTGGAAAACATGCAAGGCATCGGGATGTGACAGAGACTCCACGTGCGACTCTGCCTCACAGGAAAAGGCAGACACGGATGTCCCACGGGGCAAAGATGGTGGCGACAAGAAAGGCGTGGCGGCCCGGGGACTGACTCGGCCACATGCTACTGCACAGCAAGCTGTTTGGAACCAGCCAGCAGAGATTTTATAACAGGGATAAAATAATACTTCAAATAGTTTTTCTTCATACCAGCCTCTAACGATGCAGGATAAATAAAGAAATCCATCATTTAAGAAATCTATGTGACTGGGAAATCTTTTTCAGGAGTTTTAGATTGCGAAAGTAAAGCAAGAATGTTATTTACAATCAAGTAAAGCTATAAAAAATTTTAAAGCCAATTAAAAAAAAAAAAGCTCCTCTCTCGCGCGGTGGACCCAGGCCAGGGGTTGACATGCTTTTCCTAGGCATTCCTACAAGCGCTGGCAAGACTACAGGGAAAGTGTCTGTGGTAACACAAAAATGAAAGGCAAGATAGGAAGATGACTACAGTATTAAAGTAGTTTGGAAGCACCCGTGTGAAGATGCTACATCCAGATTCCGGGAAACGCTGGGGGGCCTCCGGAGGCCCAGCCCCCACCTGTGGGCAGGCCAGCAGCACCACTGGTAATTACCGTGCACACGTCAGCCTCCCAGTGCCATCTAAACCTTAGCTTTCAACAGGACGATTGTGTAACCCTCGCCTCCGCTGAAATGGCTTTGGAATTCTAAACTTACGTTTCAATGGTCACTTAAAATTATTTATATGTTCTAGCAAAAGTTATTTTTTATTCATTGTTCCCATCACCTACTTGTTGGCTTTCTTAAGAAAAAAATTTTTTTAGTATAAAAAGAATTGTGTTCACTAAGCCAGCTCACTTCTGACCACAATGGTGTCTTTGTGTATTCATAGAAGGTGACCTGCCTCTCCATTTCAATGGGGAATTGTGAATGGCCGTGTTATGAAACCGTCCCGACTTCCTACTGCTTGCATGGGAGAAGCGGAGAGGGCAATGCGAGGGCCATGTTCTCGCTTGCTCGCTCTATGTATTTATTTGGAAAATAATTTCAAACTGTAGGCCCAGATAGATTCAGAAGCAAAGTTTCCAAATGGTTCTTCACATTGTAGCTGCAGGTATGTGCCACCTGCCGCCCTGCTCCACCCAGCGAAAACCTCCCAGCATTCAGCGCGCAGCACTGGGGGAGGGGCGTGTCAATCAATGTGGCCAACCTTGAGCTGAAAAGAAACAAACTCCATTGAAATTAAATTCAACTAATGCTGTATTGTTTCAGGGTTTGTTCATTTTTTATCTGCTTCCTCATAATTGTTAAACTAGCTGTCTTAGATTCCATCAGGTAAAGAATTACAAAAACACACCTATGATGGCAGATGGGCAAGCATTGGGACAGTGAGTGCCGATGGGGGTGGCAGGGGTGCACCGGATCCGGAGAACCCTGGGCAGCGAGCCCTCCTGAGGCTCCCGACCTGCCGTCCAAAGTGGTCAGATAGCAATCCGGGAGCAATTTCTGTCACCACCACCTGATTTCCTTTCGTCCCTTCCTTCTTTTTTTCTGCTTAATTCAAGATGGTTGGAAGCCTCTAAGCTCATCAGCTCCGAGAGGTCTGTAGTGGCTTCCCGTTCCCGCTGCTCTGCTCACACCCCCGGCCTCCGTCCTGCACAGCCGCCCCCGTGGCCCTGCCTGGCTCCAGCTGCAGCATGGCACTCCCCACTGCCTGGTGAGTCTGTTTCCACACGGATAGGCCCCTAGCATCTCACATTCTAAACTTCTTTCCCTCACTGCAGGTCTGCAGGCACCCACTTTACCCTTGAGCTCTGCCCGACGTGACGCCCAACTGTTTCTACACTTTCTCAAACCTGTCTTCCCCCCACTTACTGGCACCCTCTTGCCAGGAATCTGGATACACCCAACACACTACATACCAGGACCCAATTAATATTCCCTAATGACAGCTCACCCTAAGTTGGTCCACTGCTCACACATCTTCAAACTCCTCAATGCAAGCTCCCCAGGTGGTGCTGGGAGCCACCTTCTGAGCCTTTAAGAGAGCCTTCTGGCCCCACCGTGCCAGCCCTCTCCCCTGGGCAGCAGTGGCCCTGTCTTCTCAGTGCTGGACCCCAATTCCCTCCCAGCCTCCACACCTCCCAAGGGCACGACTAACAACTTGGCTTTTCCTGTGGACACAGCGTCACTTGTAATAGACAGACGCTGAAGAAAAGCCCATATCGCTTTTGAAAAAGCACACGTAAGGGTCACAGATACTCAAGGCAGTGAAGCAAGGCTCAGAGCTTCCTGTGGGCCGGCGCTGAGCGATCTGCCCCACTGTAAGGCAATGTGTTTAGAGCATGTTTATTAAATCCATTTCCAAATTCTGAAGTGGACGTGCCACAGAGTGCAAGAAGCCGGAGTTTAGATACGCAGTGGCTTGGTCATGGCCATGGCCACCGCCTCACTTGAGGCACCTGAAAGCAATGCTTTCTGGAAACAATGAGCTCTGCCTTCTCTCACTCTTCCTTCTAGATGATAATGAACCTACTGTTTTTCATTTTTTCATTTAAGGTCTCATTCTTTAAAAAAAAATAGTTACACCAAAAGGTACTGCACTTTCTTCATTAAGGTGAAATAAGTTGCTTTTGGTTTGAGGACTGTCTCTTTAAAATTCCCTAAAAAAAAGAAAAAGAAAAGGAAGGAACACCAGGATCAGGCTGCCTTAAGGTAGTAACCTAGGTTTGCTTACCTGGCCATCAGATCTCATTAGCACATCTCAGGCAATCCACAAGAGGGGGAGGGGTGCATTTTTGTCATACAACTCATCTACTTCTGCCAGTGCTTCCTTATTTAAGAGTGTGATGTAATTTCCTTCTTTCGATCTGGTTCTAGAACCTGATTTCTGTTTATTCAGTGATAAATGGGCTCCCCAGCGCATCTGACGATTACCTTCACAGCAGCTTCCAGCCCGGGAAGGGGCGTGGTGAGGGCTAGAACCCACAGCCATTTAAGAGTCTGACAGGATCAGGGCTGGTTCCAGGACTGCGGGTCCTGCCCATACATCAGTGTGTCTGCAGGTTTGTATTCATTTAACAATGAACACCTGAGGGGGGCTGGTTATCTGGTCCAGCACACTTCCAACCAGGCTAGCCGACACACTCAACATCCGGTTAAGTTTTTCATAACAATCCGGGAAAATGTCGCGGTGTGCTACTCCGCCGCACAGTCTGGGGAGCATGCTGTGCAAGCCGAGTTTATTTGTGAAAAGCAAAAGTACAGTTTGCACAGATTCTTCAAAAACAAAGGCCTCGATTCAGAGCTTTTCAGATTTCATTTGAGCAGGCTATGATTTGGCGGCACGGAGAGAAAGGGGGAGGCACGTTAAGAGAATTCCCTGCACTGGGTTCTGCTACGGTGGAAGGCAAAGACCATCTTCAAATGAGACGCGGGAGTGACTTTTAAATCCAGTAACAAAAAATACTCCTGCTCAAATGCAAGCAAAATTTGATCTCAGTTCATAGTACCACGCAGTTCAGTGCAGTGGAAACGGACGCCTGAGCCCGCCTTCTGCAGCTCCCTTCCTGCGGGGCTCCCTTCCTGGGGGGCTCGACTAACGGAGACATGATTTCCTCAATAAGTTGGAATACTTTCCAGCTAAGTGTTTTAAGAAATGGCAAGCCAACAAAAACCCTATTCGTTCAACCACCATAATCAATAGCCTTTTGATTCACTGAGTCTCCCACACGATTTTAGCAATAGCAGAAAAGCAGGAGAGCAGACGTGTATCCTGCTGTCCTGTGTGCTGCTTCAACCGAGTCTACAATCAGTAGCAACACACAGACACACACAGAGGAGGTTCCTTTTAACAGACTTCTAATTGTGAGGAGACACAAGTTCTAATCTTAGCGAGAACGACAAGGGCTTCAGGTGGGACAAACCACTGTAGATGAATACAGTTAATCCCAAATCATTAATAATCCCTACCACGACACACTTCTCTGCCAGGCATTGTTCTAGGTACTTTCTGTGCATTGATTTATTTAATCCTCAACAATCCCGCGAGACGTGTTACTATTACTGCTCTCACTGACACAGGAGAGTTCACACCAAGACTTGAGCAAAGGGCCTGCCTGCAGGGCCCTGCTCTGGGCTGCCATATACCACGCTGCCACCTCAGGGCCCTCTCTGGGCTGCCATATACCACGCTGCCACCTCAGGGCCCTCTCTGGGCTGCCATATACCACGCTGCCACCTCAGGGCCCTCTCTGGGCTGCCATATACCACGCTGCCACCTCAGGGCCCCTGGCTCTTAGCTGCCACACACCACACTGCCACCTCAGGGCCCCTGCTCTGGGTCACCACACACCACGCTGCTATCTCAGGGCCCTGCTCTGGGCTGCCATATACCACGCTGCCACCTCAGGACCCATTCTAGTCCACCGCACATCACACTGCCACCTCAGGGCCCCTG